ACACCTTGATTGGAAAAGGGAATTTACTTCAGAGTGCAATGTCACCACGTATGTTTTTTCACTACAAATTATTTACTGTAAAAGCTTGGAAACAGGAGTGTTTAATATATTAAGCACGAAAAAAATGTACCTTCAAACAACATTCGCAAATAAAATCAATGTGTGCATTGTAAATGTATAGCTCACAAGTTCTAAAGAAGGGATTATTTACAAACCCAATTTATATAACAGTTGCAGTCATTCAAAGCAATTTATCGGTTGTATAAGTGCTCCACGAAACCTCTTTCTAAACTATTTATATTAATTTTATCACCAATCAAAGCCGGGCTTCAAAGTTATTGTGAAACTACCCACTCTAGGGGCGGCGTGGTTCAGATGTGTTCCAAAGATCTTTTAGAGTACATAAAATCTAAGTTTCTTTGATCTTGCAGTAGTATGAAAACATTGGACTTTTCCAACCTTTACACAACTATCCCCCATTCCAACCTAAATAACAAGTTGGTCCCGCTTTGTTTCATAAAAACGAATGGCCAACCTAGATGAAAGTATCTTTTCTAAGGGAGGGATAAATCGTTTGGTGTGATAAATCAAAATGATTCAAACGAAACAGTCTCTGAAACTGACACTATCAAGATGCAAGATTTCTTGATTGACAACATATTTGTTACGTTTGGAGGACGTGTTTTTTCAACAAACAATCGTCATTCCTATGGGAAATAACTGCGCTCCTCTTCTTGCCTACTTGTTCCTTTATTCATATGAGGATGACTTCATACAGGATCTTCCTAGGAAGAATGAAAAGAAGCTAGCATTGTCTTTAGGTTCACGTTCCGCTGTATAGATGATGTCCTTTTCACTAAATAATTCATTGTTTGGTGACTATATTAAACGCATCTATTCCATCGAACTTGAAATAAAGGATACAACAGATACAGTTAAGTTTGCATCATATCTTGACTTACATCTAGAAATTGACAATGAGGGTCAGTTGAAAACAAAATTTAACGACAAAAGAGATGATTTCAGCTTCCCAATTGTGAACTTTTCATTTCTATGTTGCAATATTCCAGGAACGCCTGCATATGGAGTATATATCTCCCAGTTGATACGATTTTCCAGAGCTTGCATTTTTTATCACGATTACCTTGATAGAGGGTTGCTGCTTACAATGCAGCTATTAAACCAAGAGTTCCAAGAGGTGAATTTGAAATCATCAACTATCCGACAGACACAAATGATGCAGATTTAAATAAATGAACTTAAAGTGTGTTGTTATCTTGTGTTTTTACACACACATTCATTAACCCCGCAACATTCTTTTTGTGCATGCCCAAAGTCAAGTACCGGTTATCTAGTTGTTTTCGTTGTCGTTGGTTGCTGTCTGTCGTAACTGTTTAGTTCATAGTTGTTAATTAAATGGGTTGTTGCATTTTGGTTTTCTCTTTTGAACTGTTTTATATTTTGTCAAACCGGGGCCTTTTGAAGCTTACTATACGGTATTGTGTTTTGCTTATTGTTGAAGGCCGTATGATGACCTGTTATTGTTATCATATATTTCCTTTGGTTTCTGGATATTGGTATCATTACGGATCATCCATATATCCTTATTTGCATAAAGACTGCTTCCCATCTGCATTTATTTGTTGAAATTACGTCACTTAAAGAAACGAAAATGACGAAACACACATCAAAGAAACTAGACTAACTTATAATTTGGTACGCCGGACGCGCATTTCGTCTGCACTAAACACCGAAATGTTTTAAATTTGTGCCAAATACGACTTAGGCAATACATTCTTGCTATTTGTATGTTGTATCCCTCATTTATCTAATTATCTTGCAGTTATTGAATCATTTCTTGAAATGTATACAGTACACAACAACAACTTATCAAACACAGTTCTCTTATTCAATTATACGATCTTTTGATCTATCTGCATAGTTGTAAAGTTACTTTTAAATCATATAAAAGAGTATACACCAATTGCACATGCCAACAGATAGTTAAAACCATTGTTGCTTTCCTTTGTCGTATTTATGCTTTATTTGGTGGTAAAAAGCATATAGGCACGTGATCTGTATTCCAACGAATACTAAACAAACTTATCATAGATATCGGGATCATAATGTATTATGTCAGAAACGCGTTCCGTTTAATTACGACACATAAATGGCACTCTAGTCTAAGCAGTTGGAAGGTGATCATTCCATACAATGTTCTTAGATGCTGTGGCAACTATGACTAAGGATATACATGCCTGGGTAGACAAATCTAAGTTTTTCGAAAGCTTTGATATTATGATCAGTGCATTTACTTGAAATTACTTAGTTCGCTTCCCTGATCGGGATCAGCATATTTATTTCGTTATTGGTGTGAATTACAGCTAATTGGAAACTTCAACACCACTCACCAAAACATGACTTGATTAATATTTTCAAAACAACATATACAATAAAAAGGTTAAACTTAGAATTGAAATTTATCCGTCCAGAGTCACGTGTACTATAACATAAAGTAATAATGACCGTTTTTCATTTATAACCTTGACATTAGAAAATGTCATGGTAACCTTTACAAGATTATTAATGACAAAGGGGGTAGATTATCCTATCCTAACGCTGATTTGTCTTTCCCTGATTGTTATTTTCCCAAAATTCTGTCTTAATGAGTATCATTTCTCAGTGTGCGAGTGTTTGCAGTGACGTCTCAGATTTTAAGGAACGTACAAAAATATTTTTATTGCAACATTATAACTGCAGGGATAAGGTATCATTGGTCAATTAATGCAACAGTGGTTTACGGGTATTAAAATCTCATGAACCGATAAAGATAAATCAAGGTAACAAACAAAAGCTGAAGGAATCGTATGAACTCCGAAAGGAGCAAGATCAGGTGCGTCGACAACCTATGTGTTTCCTGTTATGCATGCATCCCCGCCATCCAAATACAACTGGGAATAGGACACACATCGGTAAACAATTAGAGTTTAGACGACTCTAAACATGTCGCCTACGAGTTGAGACCCATACATATCGTATCGGTCAATCGATTCGTGATTGTGACTGTAAAACTTTTATAGTGTTGATATTATATGTTCTTTTATGAAAGGTAATTCAAATACATGTTGAGGAGTATTGAACGGTAAACTACTGCCTTTTTTTTTACCTTTTATATACAGTAAATGAAAAACATATTTTACAACTTTCGTGCGTCCTAGCGCTTTACTTTTATTAGAAATGTTCAACATAAACATTTGAAAATCAGGGAATGTACAGAAAATAACGGAATTGACTACTTGGCTTCTGCTAACCTCGAGGACGAACATTTTTTAACTAGAGTGGCGATAGAACCGAAAACAGTATGAATGCCAAATTCAACACAAAGTTCTGAATAATGTTACATTCTATAAACAGTAAAAAGCAAAAATACCGAACTCTTAATTTTTTTTTCTACGTAATTATAATACATGTTTTTGGTATTTTTAACTTAACTTATGTTAGCTTAAAATACGCTAATTTCATGAACATTTTTGCTACTTTAGTATAGAGCACAATCGTCTCCCAAAACAATATTTTGTCAGCAATTAGATAAACATATGTGGTAAAGTGGTATTTTAGGATATTTGTATTTTATATATCAGTTTGATTATTTCTATATTTTTAATCTAACTTTATTATTTCAGAAGATATTATTATTAATACTGTAGTATTATATTATTGCAGGGTTAAACTATACGGAGTGTAGATTTCAGGTTCGCTCAGGTGTGACTTTTATCAGGTGTTTCAATTGGGTTTTATTGGTATTGATTAGTTCTCAATTTTTTGGCGGGAAGTTTACATTTTCGTTATGGTCACCATTTTCCATGAATAGTAAATTGTTCCACTATATTCTGTTTTGGAGTTTGATTTTCATGTATATTGTTATTTTTAAATTTGCTTATTCAAATTTGGTATTTAACAGTTTATTGCATGACTGTTATAATGTATTACTAATGCACGACATATGCATTATGATTAGATTTGGTATATAGATGTATTCATGAAACAATAGAATTGGAGATCACTATTTCCGAACTTACAGCAGAATCCATTGAGTGTGTAGGTAAATGTAATATCTTTGGTTAGCTTGCTTGCTAATTGAAGCGTGAAGTCATTATTAGGTTAGGTTAACTACCCTCCTTTATGAGTAGACTAGTCAGACAGATAACCAATCTATCTGTCTGTAGGACTAGACTACTAAAAAAGGAGGGTAGTATACATAACCTAATAATAACTTCACGATTCACCTAAGAAGCAAGCTAACCAAAGATTCTACCTTTACCTACACACTCTGCTGTAATGAAATTATAAATTATTCTTTTATTATTGAAATGCATGGAAAAGTAAACAGTTTCCTTGTTCATAATTGTTAACATCATTTTTTAAAGTTATATAGTTATTCAATTATATTAAATCCATTAATATAATGTATTGTTATTACAGGGTAATATTTTGGATTACGATATAAACTTCGAAATAAAGAATCCGTAACCAATAGATTATTTCTTGTGTGTTTATTGCCCCGAAACATGACTACACATAAAATATAATAATTTGAATGAATTTACTGTCTTTCCATGGTCAGCGTGTAGCACATTTTTAAACACTAAGGCTTTATCAAAGTAAATAGATTCAACATTAAATTCTGGAAATTTGCGAAAAATTAGAATATAATTATCTCAAGGGCCAAGCTGGTCCCAAATACCTTGTCTTTTACGGAAAATAGCCATATCAGTGATGTTTCATGTCATTACAGGAGAGGAAAATTAGATTCGTAAATTAAAAGTGTGAAATGAAACTTCATGGTTCATTCTATTCTTTACATTCAAATTCTGTATATTCTATATTGACATTGCACGCGATCATGCCTTTCTGTATTTTTTATGACCAGTTATACCTTTCATATGCCAGAGGTTTTAATTTTCTTTTTAGTAGAACTTAAGTTTTCGTGATTATTACAGGTCGTTACAACGGTGTTTGACATTACTTTTAAAGTGCATACAAGACAGCATATTTCTGTTTCAACATTGTTTATTGATACACAGGTAAAACTATATTTGTTCTTTATCATTCTGTAGCATGATGTTGTAACTCTTCTGATTTTCCCCGTTTAACGATCTATACTCAATCCATAGAAAGTTAAGTTTATGCTCCTATCAGTTCTTCATGAATCCCAAACACAGACTGCAGTTATGCTGTTCTATAATTCAAATTATTACATTTGTGTACAGCATGTTGTAAATTTTCTTCTGTGTTAAGGTGTGAAATAAAGCAAACAGAAATGTGCTAAATTTACCAACTTTCAAGCACTGATCATTTGTAAGCTTGGTACAAATGAAATGTTGGTGTGATATACTTTCACAAGTAAATGCAATGAATAAAACCGAAGGGAATTGTAACATGTTTTATTGGTTCTGTTTTGCTATAAGTTATTTAATGAAACACATATATAGAGTATTGCTATCTAATCTAATTTCAAATATATTTTCCTTATCAAACAAACCTATCGAAATTCTCCAAAATGGAGTTATAAACTTGTACAGAATAATAGATATAAACTCTGATAAAATATTCATGTTTAATGGGAATATCTGGACAATAAATATGTAAACTGTAACTGTTCCGCATTTTTCATTTGTCGCATTGCTCAATGATTATGATTTTTAATTTGATCGAATTTCATCGTTTTCTAACTTTTTTAACTTTAGGACGTAGGGTTCAACATATTAAGGGAAAATATACGGTAGATAGTTTGGGTAATCTACATTTGGCTCCGACTGCGGACATATACTACACGTAAATAATTCATTTGACTTAACAAAAAATACAAACCCCATAAGTCGTTATGAAAATGAACCTAAATAAACTCATCATAGATACATAGATTAAAATTTTTTCTCTACCAAAAAATTTGTTTTGCATGCACACGTATAAAAATTGCGGTTTGTATCCAACACAATCATAGGTTTGAACGTTGTTTTCAATTTAGACTTGTTTATATTTTTTCGTTTGGGCTTGTATTATATTTGCCTTCGGGTTTATATGATCCGTTCATCCTATTTTGACTCCTCAAAATTCAAGAGTCTATCCTAAATTGAGGTAAATTATATGGCCTTCCAAATACCGTTTCGATTCCTAACATCACTGAAGAGACATTAATTTTCGAAATCCGGATATGGCGTACAAATGTTTGCACCTCATGTTTGCGATATACTATCTTTTCCGCAAGTTTATTGTTTTCTGTTTGGTAATAAATTATTATAAGATCCATTTTGTTACATCTGGTGATCCGTTTATTTGCCAATCGACAATGGCAGTCAGCAGGGGTTAAGAACATCAGTTGTTCGACCTGCTAGTCAAATGCGTTTTGTTGAAATATACTTTTTCACTTTTTTAGTCTTTTGGAAAATGTTATTTGTGCTGTATTTAGACCCCTCTACCAAGAAATTTGTTTTGCATGCACACGTATAAAAATTGCGGTTTTTATCCAACGCAATCATAGGTTTGAACGTTGTTTTCAATTTAGACTTGTGTATATATATATAAGTACGTCTGAACCAACAACAGATTTATCCATCGGATCACCAGTAGTGATGGTGATACATGGCTGTGTACATTCTGTATATACAACTCGTCTAAACATCAGCCCAAGGCCAACACTGTTAGATCTGTAAATTTGCTTTCGCAAATGTTTTGTTCTTCCCTCGCCAGGATTCGAACTCATGCAGATCTAACATTGTTGGGCTGATGTTTTAGACGAGTTGTATATATTTCATTTGACATATTCGTATACATATTACATTACGATATTTAAAACTTGCTTCATTTTAGTATTGACAATGTTTTATTGGATAGCTAAACACGATACTTTTTTTACCCTAACCATTCCGTAATACTTGAGGTCTCGTTTTTTTTTTTGGTGAGATTTGTGTTAAACAATCTTTAGTTTTCTACGTTATGTTTACGGACTGTAATTCGTCTGTTTTTCGTTTGTCTGTCTTTCTTCGAATTGTGGATTTGATTACTCTATTACTACCTTATCAATGATTGTTTTAAATCATTTAAGAATATTTCTTAACAAAGCTGATCAACCTCTTAACATTATAATACATCTGATAGGTATTTCATAATGTGTAAAAATCTAGTATGTATTACTTCAAACTGAATACAAATCATCACTATGATTACATAATAATACGAAATACAAAAAAAAAAGAAGCTATATAAATGAAATTCAATTATCAGAGTTGACTGCAATTGAAAATAAAATAATGTCAGAAGAAGCCGATGGGTACTTGTCATAACATAGATAATATAAAGATGTCATACATCGTGATAAAGAATGACTTGAAATTAATTAAATTGAAATTCGAATTAACTATTTATATTAATTTTGTACTACTTATAATCATTCCACACACCCACTCACAATTTTGTAACTAGAATGCCAATTGGCAATCAAAGGCACACATGATAATTCAATTCATTACAATTATATATTTTTTAGAATCAAAGCCACATTAGACAAAGAAAATCAATTAATCCATTGTAGCCTTGATTAGAAATTTACTTTAAAACATAAGAATTATTGCGAAAAAAAATAATAGTCTTACTAAAGATTTACTTTTATGTTATTTTGTTTTATCTTCTTACATTTTTTGCGGCATATCCTGTGGTTGCCTTCTTTCTTTTCGTTATATGCTTATTTTCTTTTAAAAAAAAATCTTTTAATTTGTTTAAATTTTAGATTATTTTATTAATGGACGGACGTCCAGCAGTCACACTACAGTACAAATTTATCATATTTTTTTTTATTGTAAAACAATTATCTCTCTATAAATAAACTCAACAAAAAAGTTGACGGCCACTAAATTTATTTTCCATTACACTAGTACAATAGTATTAAAGTTCGTGTTTAAATATCTTCTGTAGCAGCAATGAGCATAAGGATGTCAAGGAGGAACACCAGTTTGCTTGATTATAGAAAACTGATATTTATGAAAAGTGAATGAAGTTGAAGTTCTAAGTGGTATCATTTCTTTAAAAAAATACAGGTTTTGGAATTGGATTTTCGTCCCTTAAATAAGACATGTCATAACATTTGCTTGGTAAAGAGTGATTCTGTTATCAAAGATTGCTTTCATTTGACTTTTTTGTACTGAGGAGTTTAAGCGTCTCATTTTAATCAGATTGCACAAATGTCTAGCAAGACTGTCTGAATTTCCAATAGCAGCTTGAAAAATTGTATCAATATTGTATCAATTTTCAAGAAGATGGGTACTTGAAAAAAACGATCATTATTTCAGTGATGTTGCTATTTAAACGGCTAAATCTGTACGAAGTGAAAGAGTCAAATGGTGTCAGAATTCATTCAGATTTACAGAAATTTGGTTTTTAGTGGAAAATGGTGATTTTTGAAAACTTGAAAAATGAAAATTATACAAAAACGAGATAATGTTGGGAATTTGCTGGCATGATATTGCCAAAACAAAATGCAAGTAGTCGTGTTTCTATTTTCCCTACATCCCTTGATGAGAATATCAAAGCATTACTTCAAATGGAAGTGAATCTTCATTTTTTTGTTGGGTATAGATAACATTCATTTTGAAATTCAACAGCTCCTTAACGCTAGTTGAAAGACATACAATTTCCGAAATATATATCTTTATTTTGAACAGTATTGCAAATGCCCCAATATTGTACATTGTTAATAATGGTACTGGTTACTTTCTACATGAGGATGATATAACCTTTTGGAATTGCTCCTTGTATCCCAAACATTAAATAAACTGTTTGAAGAGAATATATAGAAAGAACAAAAATAAAACGATTTGAAGGAAGAGAACCCACTTTATCCAAATTTGATTAAAAAAACCAGACGATGTAAATATGAAATTTCAATAGTATTACTTCTTTGAAATAAAAAAATAAAGGAAATACAAATGACAACTCGTGAGATTTACAGTACAATTTACAAATATGTTCGGGAAAGATCAATTAGATTTTACGATAGATGTATTTGAAACGTGTAGTACTCTAGTGACAATTAATCAAATTATATGCATTCACTGTTTCAGTTTGTTTGAAAATATTGAATTAATATCCATATGATTTCGTTAATTGCGTGGGAACTTGTTAGATACTGGTAAACGTTTGTTTTCTTGGAAATGAAACAGTCGTTATCTGACAAACTTAAGTTGATTATAGCTTTAATTGAGACACATGGATCATAGATAGCACGATAAAGAGGCAGCTAGTTTTGAAAGGTCAATCCATGCTTTCATCATATCATAAATGAAGTTTTACAAAGTGTGTTCAAGGGAATTCATGCTTCCTGATTACTTTAGCTAATTTACCAGCGTTTTGTGTTGCTCGTTTGAATGTTATCCAGTCTACATAAAAATATGAGCAAAATTGCAATTTATCATCCTTCCCTACCGCTATATCAGCTTCCTCAACATATCTGTAAAACTCGTATCCAGTTAGCGCGTACAAGTGAGGAGACATTATCAAGTGAGCTGGACTTATCAACAATTTCTCCCAACATATTGCCTTGTATTGTAATGGTGATAAGTAATTAAATAAATTCTTTTAATAAAATAAATTACACTTGCAGTACATATTTTACAATGAACCATTTCTTTTTTCCTAAAATTACTTTACATTCTGAAACGAGATGTTGATAAAATGGTGTCGACGGCTGTCTTGATAAGTTCTGCCGGGACTACTTTTTTTCAGAACTGAACTATTTGACCTAATTTGAACTATTGATCTGACCTGTATTGAGATCAATCTATCGATACAAATGTCAACAATGCGGGGGTGGCAGTTTAGATTATTAAAAACATTTAAAGTGAACATAAAAGTCACAGTAAAACTTATAATAAAAATTGATTAATTATGCACATATATTATACACTCCTAGAATAAGCATTTCATTTTAAATAATAAAATAGGGGAAAAAATCTACCACAAAACAACAACCCTCTTTCTGACAAGTCTAAAATACTTATTTCGTCTTCTAAAACAAAACAAAACAAAACAA